AAGGGCTGGGTTACTTTCGTTGTTATAGAACGGTTGCTTATTTTTAAGATATTTCAAGCTTTAGTTCCATATGTTTTTATGCTTACAATAAATTTATACTGGTAACATACAAATCTCTGTCCTGTGTACAGTTATAACCTGGAACATTTGATATAACAGTTGACAAAGTTAATTAACGAAAATGCATAGCTAAAATGACTCATTTGTTTGGACAATAGCTATTATCCCAATAAAATTCACACTGTTACTTGGCATATGATAGCTACATTACTGAATAATTCACTTGGACAAATGAGAATGATTACAAACTTTTCACAATGTTTAACAGTTAGAAAATATTCGCAAGCAACTTTAAGTGCCGAATCAGTCTTTCGCAACAAACAAGCTGTCAAATTAATGTACCCAGTTTTATCATCATATGACGTTCAAATACAATGTTAAGCAAAAGTAATATTAAAACGAATTATGTATTTGTATGTACATGCTATCGAATGTGCATCACAAACAATTTATTATCGTAAATGATACTTTCCATACATCTATTGACAATGATAAAAAACCTTAAAGGCATTTTTATCAAATATTTAAGTAAATGTACTACAACACGAAGATATCTTGTGATGATTAGAAATAACTAAATGTCACTTATTGGAGTTAAACTTAGTAAATGTCACAAATAATATGCAATAATGATCTGTGGAAGATCTATTTTTCAATAAAAAAATTGAAGGGATTGTGATTATAACCAATAAAAATAGTGAATAATAAGTAAAGACGCTATATATGTCGTTTGGATGATGAATTCATGACGATTATAGCTACTTGAGGGTAAGTCACGAGAACAACACTATCATATTTTTTTTCATATTTATAGTTTTTCATTGTCGACCAAATTCAGTTGTAAAATCATTAGATACCACGAAGCAATGAACAGTTGTTTATCTTGAATTGACCCCGCTCAAACGTCGATGGCAAGGTCGTGAATGTACAACACAGGCGTGGTCTACTGCTAGGATGAAATGACCGTCTAGTTCATCCTTGTTTGCTATACCTTTTAAATATAACCAGTCCCTGATGTAAACCTGCCAGTTCAACAATTTACTTAGCTCCTTGCAATACACATATTTGTTAAGTGTCAAAACATTGATATCAGATTTCAACATACTTTTTGGAGGATGTTAAATATCATTTTATCAGTAAAGTTAATGATAGATTTGAAAGATATTTGCTTTTAAAAGTCATTGTAAATGCTTCAGAAACTTTCCATCATACTTGTTATTGTAACTAATCTGTACAGTTCATACTTGTTAGTTGTTTTCTTATTTCATACTAATCGGAAAAGTATATCAAAGCAATGTATGTCTTCTTTGCAACATTCATAAGTTTATTCAATAATTTCACAATATTTATTCATAACTATTTAATGAAGATTGTTAAAAACGCAAAACAAACTTGATTAAAACTAATGAATGTTGATTAAAACAAGGAAATTAAAGTACCCGCTGAAATCGATTTATACAATTAAAAAACCTTTTGGTCTTTCATAGGAAGCTTTTTGAACTAAAATATGTTTAGTCATTTTCATTAAAATGTCTTTAATATTCAACTTCTAAGGATATTTTACAATTTCTATAGAACCCAGATATCCGATAGACTAATACTCTGCTATTGAAGTTATGTATACATAAATAATAAGCAATTATAAAAGTTTAATCTTTTACTCAAGCTACTATAAGTAGTACAAGAATTATTTTAAAATTAGAAGAAAAAACATGGGATAATCATAAAGTGCTTTTTACACAGAAGATTCCATTTTTTGAGATTATTTTGTATCATTTATCAATCATTGAATAAGGTTTATGTAAATGAATTAATTGTTTTATGCCGTATGCAGGATCATGGATATGTACTGCTGAGGTGTCCCATATTAGGACGAAACGTCCGTCCAGTGCTTCCAGGTTTTCAATGGTGGTCTAGCTCAGATTTACTCATGAATTCAACTATTAAAAATAGAAATTAGTTATCAAGTTCAGTGAAGATTATCTTATTTTAATCTAGAGGTATATGAACGTGGATTAATCAAATAGAATGAAATGGAATTAATCTCTAAAATTTTGTATGAACAATTTCTCTATTTTACTCATAGCCAACAGTGTGTGTAATAAGTTAATATATCTATCAAATACCTTTGCTAGATCTCTCAATGAACTTCCTTGATTTTGTGACTGTTTGATTTTTCGTTTATAACTAAAAAAAGCTTTTTACTGGAGCTTGAATACATTCACTCAATAGTCGACTTAAATAATGATGCAAATATCTATGTTTTACAGCACTTATCAGAACAGTATAACATTACAAAGCTTACTGTTACCTTATTATTGCATCTTTTGATCAGAATTATTCAAATTCCTACCTAAAGTTTGTTGGTTGTCGTAGGTTTAGTTTTCTTAATTCATCTCCAGTTGCCACACGAGAACCAAAAAATCTTCTCAACATCCAGCTGCATAGAATCACTTTAATTTAAACAATCATTTAACATATTTTAAATTTATTACAGAATTTATCGAAAAGCTTAGTCAGTGGAACCAGTTTTATCACTGTAGCGTAACACACAAAATCTTCAAGTAAATGATTAGTATCATAAAAAATATGACTGGTAGGTTTATTGATTTGAGGGAAATGCCTGTAAAAACTAGCAAAAAGTGAACATGATTCATATAATGAATAAAATGATTTTCAACCTATAGGTGAGTTAGTTTGTTATATAGAATAGTTTTTTAACAACGTTTCTATTTAAGGAGAAGTTTATTCACTTCAAATGTTGCACAATTTGTTGATATTTGTCTTTCTAATCTCTGAAAATTTGAAAATCTTTAGTTAAAGATTCAGTGGTTCTCATCTCATCACAAAGCTCATTGTCTCAATCACATGTAGGTTCATCGGTATTTATCTTTAAAGAGTTCAAAATGAAGGGTAAATATCTCTTTAATATACCTTGGTATACAATAATTTTTCAAACGATCTCAGTTCATAGTGGGAATTGTTTTTAAATTCTCCAAAAAATTTTAAAAAAAATCTTCAATCAAGAAGAATTATAATGGCATTATGTAACGTTTTGTAAATAGTACATATGATCTGGTAGTCAGGAACATTGATTAGCAATAATGATTTGGTATTTTCTAGAAATTCTTGAATATACACATTATACAAGATATGAAATATATAATAAATGGTTCTTTGTTCACGTATTTTGTCAAATCATGTAATTGATGTATTCTAATTTCAGCAGCATTTTATACACATTATGACAATTTAGATATATTTTCCTTTAGTGGGATATTTATTGAAAGTGGTACATTGGTTTAAAGATCATTTTTGTGATCAATCTACATCAGCCTAAAACATAACTATCATACTTAGAAGAGTTGATTAGTAGTTTCTTTTCAGTTAGTAGTCTTTTTAATCACTTACATCTATGACAAAAAACTAGTTATACGAAATATCATGAATGTATATATACATCATAACATGTTTGTTTACTAATCTTACATAAGAAGATGCATAAGTAACTACAGGAAAATCATTCAAAATGGAGTAAACTATCTATCCTTCAGCTATTAGAGATAACTTTATGCTGAACATTTTCTCAATCTTCTAAAAATAAATCTGTCCTCTATCATAGTAAATATATGTCTTTCAGTCTTTATATTTTCTTAATTTTCAGCCAGACATTCATACACTATATTCAATAAAATATTTATTACTTATATATCAACATATACGTATAGATAATTTATTGTGGTGTAAATATATTTTTCAACAATAATTACGATCGTACAACACAGCATGCACCAATCGAATCACAATTGACGGAGATTTGGAATATATAAACATTTTCACATATCTGGGCAGCATCATTGATCGACACGGTGGTTCTGATGGAGATGTGAAGGCGCGGATCGGTAAAGCAAGAGCAGCATATTTAAAACTGAAGAACATCTGGAACTCAAACACAACTGTCAACTGGAACAAAAGTCAGAGTTTTCAATAGAAATGTCAAGACAGTTTACTGTATTGGGCGGTAACTTAGAGAACTATGAAAGCTGTCAACCAGAAGATACAAGTGTTTATTAACAGCTGTCAACGCAAAATACTTCGGATCCGTTGGCCAGATACTATCAGCAACAACTTACTATGGAGGGAACAAACCAGATCCCAGTGGAGGAAGAAATCAGGAAGAAGCTCTGGAAGTGGATAGGACACACATTGAGGAAAGTGGATAGGAAATACATTGAAGAAAGCATCCAACTGCGTCACAAGACAAGCCCCCACATGGAATCTTCAAGGCCAAAGGAAAAGAGGGAGACCAAAGAACATATTACGCCGAGAAATGGAGACAGATATGAGAAGAATGAACAAGAATTGAATAGAAATAGAAAGGACGGTCCAGGACAGAGTGGGTTGGAGAATGCTGGTCGGCGGCCTATAGTAACAGGCGTAAGTAAATAAGTATTTATATCTGAGCATCACTAGATCATTAGCTTTATGACGATTGAATCCCAATGATAGTAATATTAATAAGTAGTTTAGTTATATATAAAATAACTATTTAAAAAAGTCATAAATGTTGGTAATTTTTTTATGAGTTATCAATTTTTTTCCTACCTTATTTTTATTTCCCCTCAAGGTCATCTAATTCTCCACCTACGGAAATTTACTCTCTTTCAATTTGACCAAATATAAACTAGCCCATTTTTTTTAAAAAATATTTCCCTATTGGTTCATTGATATTAAAAATGAGTAGAAAGAGAAGAGAATATAATAAAAGAGATTGAAACCTATCACGTGTGAACTAAATAGATAATCTATCTTTCTAACCCGTTTTCATCTATGAGTTAAAAAAAATCGATTAGAAAGTTGACTTATTATTATAAATAAGTTTAATTGAAATTCATTACAATAATGAAAATATGTAGTGTTATGTAGTAATACCTTTTCAAATGAACTTAAAAAAGGTAAGTTATATCCTTTTTTTTCTTCTTCTTCTTCAAAGTATTACATTATTAAGATTGAATATAATTTTTATCACTAACTGATTTCAGCTACAAAATTGTTGAATACTAAAGAGAACTAGTCAATTGATTCATTTTAATTTAGAACGTTTCAATTCAATGTATCCACAATTCTATATTAGATTAAAACAAGATTTTGTTAGTTTTATTTTTATTTCCCTTTCTGGCATTAGCTTGTAATGATTACTTACTTACTTACTTACTTAGGCCTGTTACTCTTAATATAGTATAGGCCACCGACCATCATTTTCCAACCCACTCTGTCCTGGACCTTCCTTTCTATTTCTATTCAATTCTTGTTCATTTTTCTCATGTCTGTCTCCATTTCTCGGCGTAATATGTTCATTGGTATCCCTCTTTTCCTTTGGCCTTGAAGATTCCATGTGGGGGCTTGTCTTGTGACGCAGTTGGATGCTTTCCTCAATGTATGTCCTATCCACTTTCAGCGCTTCTTCCTGATTTCTTCCTCCACTGGGATCTGGTTTGTTTTCTCCATAGTAAGTTGTTGCTGATAGTATCTGGCCAACGGATCCGAAGTATTTTGCGTTGATAGCTGTTAATAGACAATTGTATCTTCTGGTTGATAGCTTTCATAGTTCTCTAAGTTACCACCCCATACAGTAGAACTTTTTTGACATTTGTGTTGAAAGTTCTGACCTTGGTTTTGGTTGACAGTTGTTTTTAGTTCCGATCCGCGCTTTCACATCTGCATCAGATCCGTCATTTTGATCAATGATGCTGATCAGATATTTAAAAATGTTTATATCTTCCAAATCTTCTCCGTCAATTGTGACTGGATCGGTGCATGCTGTGTTGTATCGGAGAATCTTGCTTTTCCCTTTGTGTATATTGAGACCTCCTGCTGCTGAGGTTGCTGCTACACTGGTCGTTTTCTCCTGCATTTGTTTTCGCGTTTGCGATAGGAGGGTCAGATCGTCTGCGAAGCCTAGGTGTCCACTGTATCCCATGTTTCCCTTCAGATGTTGACGTCTTCATGATCCAGTCGATCACCAGGAGAAAGAGAAAGAGTGGAAGTAAGCAACCTTACCTGACGCCGGTCTTTACTTCGAACGAGTCTGTCAGCTTGTGATGATTACTATATTGAAAATCTAATAACATCTTCAGAAAAAATACTTTACTTCATATTCTCAATTATTTCTTCTCTTTTAATCCTAGCTTATCATATTCTTCTTGTTACTTTTTCTAACGAATTTGTGCGGCCTAATACTGGCTAGCAATTATGATCAATACATAGATAGATTGATAAATGATGGAAAATTATTATATGATGATTATATAAAACAGAATCCTAGTTTACAATCAACATTAGAACGTTTATATTCAATGGAACATCCAATTTTTCAAGAAGATTATCCAGAAAATTATGAAATTACTGATAAACAATGGAATGCTTTATTAAATGAAATCAATCAAGCTAAATTAGGCAAACTACAAGAAAATGATATTGATAAATCAAAATTCATTTATTCAAATTTCGACGAAAAATCAAATGATAATGATGAATTAAATCCAAATAGAAATAATATTAATGAAGTTTTAAATGAACCAAGTTTAACAGAACGTCGAAATGAAATTGCTTATCAAAATTCTCTATGGGGTGAACATAAAGTTTCTGGAGGTTCCAGTGAAACAGGTCAATGGATAGATTATGCTTTATTAGGAGCTGAAGCACAAGATAAAACAGCTAATAATTTAAATCTATCTAGTGAACTGGAATCATCTCATATAGAATCTAAATTTGATAATTTACCTGCTTATTGTGATCCACCAAATCCATGTCCATTAAATTATAAATCAAATGATTTACCAACACCATGTGATCAAGATATTGAAGATACCATTGAATTTAATCGACATTGGATAATAAGAAAAATGCAAAATGGTGAATGTTCATGTGATAATGAACATATGGATAACTGTCCAGTCGAATCAAATGAACATGGACATAAAACTAATTTTGTGTCTGGACAAAATACTGATGGGAAAGTAAGTCGTTAGATTCCATAAATTGTCTTAAAACAAATGTTTAAATTTTAAAAAACCATACTAGCTTTTTAAAACATTACATTGGAGAATTGGCTTATATAAACTATTGATAATGATTCCGGTTCTTCTTAGGTTCGTGAATTCTTACTACTCAGGAGTCCCATACTAAGGTAAAACATTCTCCTGATACTCACTGGTCATCAGTGGTATTATACTGAGATCTAACCATGATGAAGACTTTTTGTCGGTTAAAATAATCACCAAAATCACTTTATCCAAACTATTCAGTTATGTTTAATTCAAAGATTAAAAGGATAGAAACTTTAATTTGTTGGCATAGTTTTCTACATATAAAACTGAATTTATATTTAAGTTTTATGTAAGTCATACATAATTCAGATATTACTGTTCATTAAAAAGATCCGCACTTATACACTGATAGATTTTACGATTATGAAATTAACGTACTTCATCGTCTTTATACTTCCGTTAAAATCAGAAGCTAGAGTTCACAATCACTCTTAACATCGAAATGTTATCAACTCATCTGCTGACTTACGGTTGAATTCAAACTCATAAATACATATTCATCGCTTCTTAGTAGTGAATTGCTGAGTAGTGATCGATGTCTTTTTTTATCTAGTCCTTTAAGTGTTGATCGATTTCCATCCATCGAATTCCAATGTGACCACTAACTTAAAGTGACTCGATACCGCTCGTACTATGCTGAGATGTTGGGTGGTTAGGAGTAATCGACTGGAAACCTTGGACCTAAGTTACATGTAAATATTTCAGTCCTTCTAAAAGTCAGTAGTTGCCCGAACAGCAAGGTGGTTGAGTCGCAGTCTGTGAAGTTAGGTGACATAAAGTCGAACAAGCTAGTTCCCGAAAGATTTCAGTTACATTTTAATGACGAGTGGCAACCACAAAGAAACTTAAATCCAGGGCTTTCTGTCGACTACCTTCGCCCACCTAACATTTCAACATATATTGATTATACCTTATTTAATCTTTATAATCTAATATCTTTTTTGCAAAATTATAGATTTTCTTGGTAAATCCATATCTACGAGGAGAAAGTCGTAAAAGGCTGGTAGCTAAAAAACGAGTTAAACGTTCACACGTATGTTATAATTTATTGTTCGAATTTAGACTTTAGCTCGAATTATTGTCAAGTTGACATATAATTTTATGAAAGAAATTCATAATATATCATTCATGCACTAAGTCCGTGACTTAGAATTGAACTCAGTAAATAATGTCACATTATTGTGATAAACATGTTTTATTTGTACGAAAACCGAAAAAATATTTTTGGTAATAATATTCAACTAAAATGTAATATATATCAGACTATTTAATTTACTCAGTAAAACAAAGAATTGACCGTCGAAAAACTATGTTTGATACCAGAATCATTGTGTTATTTTGACCAGTCTATAACAATATATAATATACCCTTCTGAGTCAGGGTAATTTTACATTGGTTTTCAAGAGAAACAGACACTGCCTAGGCTTAAACCTTATAACCCGCGCAATACAACTCAATCCCGCTTCACAGGAGAACCAGATGCCATATAAGCTTTAACGCTACTATATGAAAAGTACAGCTCAATCCTGTGGCGCAAACACACAGGTACCAAATGCTCTGGTGGACCATTCGCACCATTCGTATACACATTCATGTCACATGTATGGTTATTTCCATCAATGATCGCGTGAATCAATTATACACAGCACGAACAGGCCAAAGTTGATCTATTCCGCCTGCACGAAAGTCAAACTCATTGATGTTAGCAATGGCGACGTGCCTTACAATGTTCCAGTGACAATGGCTCTTGAGAACACTGAAAAGCAACCACTAGTATGAATGAAATCAGTTAACCAGCAAACCAGTTTTGTTCATGGACAGTCAGCAAAACTTGCCATCCACAATATCAATGGCGAACCTCTAGTCTCAAATGAGACCTTCAGCTCTACATAGGAATATAGCTTATACTAGTCTAGTAATAGTATTCCGACACCAGATACTGGGCTTTAAGCGTTATTAAGCCCTAACGCTTCAGGTTGAGTTATTTTATTTACTACCCTACAAATGAGTTTTATGCAGTATAAGCTATATTGATCAGTCTATAGTTCGTCAAATTATTTTATGCTCCTGTATTACTGACTATCTCTTATAATGATTCAAAATGTATGTAGAACTGAATAAAACTAAAATTAATTAATCCTAAGGAAATTCGATTTGTACATTTCACATGGCTGACTACTATCATGTTTGTACTGACAATATATAATAGAACAATTTAATCTTAAGTAACTTTAAGTACACTCTGAGAATATCTGTCAATATGTGTAATTTATGTTACTGAAATATTTATTAACTGTATGGTAAGTCATAGCATATCTGATAGTTATGATAGATAATCATAAAATAAACAATTAGATTTTCAAATTTGACATTTTGTTTTACTCCATATGAAACTAATGATATTACTAGTTAATATAATGTCATAATTTAAACTGAAATAGTTAAATAGTTTGTAATATGAGATAATGTAAGCGAAATTCACATATCTCTGTATTTAGCATAAATTGAAATACATGGAAGGATTGTAAAATGTGTCTTTTTTTTTGTGTTCTAACGATTGATATTACTCTGACAAAAAGTAACATAAATAAACCAGGTTATTTTTGAACAACTGAAAACATTTTACAGAATATTAATTCATTCATCATCTGGTTGATTTTCCTAAGATGGAAGTCAATATTCACAGTAATTAAATGAGGAAATGTTTTTTTTTTAAAAATACCCTGACAATCAATATTATTAAATATTTGTGTGATTTCATTCTCCTTCAAAAAAATGAACTCAAATTGTAATGAACAAGAACATCAGTGGGTACAACCAAATGTAGTTAAATACAAAATTACAGAATCTTTGAGTAAAATCTGAGAACCCTAAAGTAAATTCTTCATTAGCAAAATGTCAATCAATTGTTTTAAACTTGACTACTTCTTCATTCCCACATCAATCATTTTATGTTCTTGTTCATTATTTTTTAATCTTCTTAACCTTCTACCACTAGATATTTCATTTCCGATTGATGGTAAATACTACTTATATCTGCCGACATCAGTAGCACACACCACAATATTACTGGGCTAGTTAACGATCTAGAAAGATGATTAAAGTTTACTAATCAGTCATTAGATTATTTACAAATATCTTACTGAATGGCTTGTTACAGCTGATCGAATTGTATTCATCTAGATTTAACACGAATATTATTATAGACAATCACAAAGTATAAAATGTGATCAGGAAACATGTTTTTATCAGTACGGGTTTGTGAAGATTGTTGAGTTTTTTATTGAGGTCATGAATTGATTGATGTTAGACCACCATTGAAAACCTGGGAAGCACTGGACTGCAGTTTCGTTCTAGTATGAGTCTCCTAAACAGTGCGCATCCACGATCTCGCTCACGGGATTCGAATCCAGGACATTCGGTCTTGCGTGAGAACGCATAACCTCTAGACCAATAAGCCAGTATCTAACGGTTTTAATATCTAACTTCAAGTAATCCACAAAATTGTGTGACCATTCAGTGCTTCCAAGTTTTCGATGGTGTTCTAACATCAGTCAATTCATGATCTCAATCAAAAACATGTTTTTAATCATCTAAAATAATATAAATTTTAGTATCGGGTTTCTTAGTTATGTAGTTGTAATGTACAGATGATAGATATTATAACTTTAGTTATCATTTTCAACTTGTATCAAAAGTTCCTTTCATTTGGTTTATTCTTTTTGGAATTTATTATCTTTTCAGAATTATCGTTATAATCCTTATTTATTGGGTAGTGTTCATAAAACTGCAGTGAAGAAAATTGGACCATATAAACCATCACAAGAAAAGTATATGTAATAAACTTAATACAATGAATTGAGTAATTGTAATCATAAACGATACAATTCGACACTGATAATAAATTGAATGTTTTTTTTAAAAAATAAGTGGTACTTTTTCTTTCCTTTTTTTATTTTTTCAAAATATTATACTTTGAGTTAGGTATATGGTTTTCTTGACCTTTGGATTAACGAAATTGTACAATAATTCTGATATTGAATGAATCAATTTTTTTTGTAGACCTTTATTATATAGGATTATCATGATGTAGTTAAAGTTAATTTTTGATTACATAACGTGAATGAATAAACTTTATATCTGGAAGTATGAATCTAAATGATTCAATACCTAGATACATAATTAATTCACATCTTTGATAGTGTATAGAACTTGTGATCATACATTAAGAGAGATTGTAAACTTTGATTTCATCGATTATGTTAACTTGAATTAATTATGAACAAAATATTGTGTCAACATTCATTGTTATGAATGTTTATAGTTCAGGTATTTTCTGCAAGATATAAAAAAAGAACCTTGTGAGGAACCATAGATATGGTCTATCACAGTACTCTTTTGAATAATTAGGTGTTAATCAAGATGTTGGTAAAATGATCCCAAGTTTTTATAGTACATTGTATCTTTCTTTAATGTTTTACAAGGTTGTTTACTGAATTCTCACATCAATCATGTTGATTCCAAAAGTTCAGTCGTAAGTAATGGAATTCCAACGGCCATGTGATTAAATTTACTTACGACTGTAAACCTTTGGAATAATTCAAATAGATGAATACTTTACACGATCCAGTTCAAAGGTTTTATTAAGAAATAATTTAAAATGTTCATAAACAGAACATGTAAATTATGCACATATGAGTTTATTCACGAATATATATATGAGCTAGATAGTAGTTAATAACTTGACAGAACTAAAGAGGTTTATAGAGTTATTCTAAGAAATGTATATTGCTTAGTGAATACAGGATGAATGCATAACGTCAATTCAATTCTATTTTTGACGCATCATATGAAAAAACCTGTATTTAAGTGTAGTTGCACATGCTAAAATGCAAACGTCAGCGCTTTGTCCACCGGGTTTTTGACCTATAATATATAATATTCGAGTTCACTGGTAGATAACATCTAAAAAATAAAATATTTGTCATCTCATTACTTTTTCTAATTAGAGAGAGGTAATTGTGATATTAGTCATTAGAATAGATAGTAACGTAACACCAAATAATATTAGCTTTATTTTAACAGCTTCTTCCACTAAAATCTAAGAATATAACCTTTTTTAATTTATCTGTTATGATTAAATAATTGAACACATTGTGATTGATATCGGTGTAAACATGCTTAGTACAATGAACTGAGCGAACAAATCTTTCACTGAAATATACATTCAAACTATTCCGACTCGTACTTATTGGAAAATATTGATAAAAAAACAAATAAAACAAGCCAAATATCACATAAATAACAACAATAACAGGAACAATTCATGTAAAACATTACAATTCTAATTTAGACATAAACGAAATAGCATACATAACAATGTTGAACGGTGCTAATTATAAAACAGTGAAATGATATAAATCCATGTTTAACAACTGAATAGATTCTAAAATGCAAGTGACTGTGTAACATTGTGGACAATATGTAAAGTTGATAGTTAGATTTTCGATTGAGAACATGAATGGACAAATGTTAGACTACCATTGGAAACATGGAAGAACTGGACGTTTGTTTCGTCCAATCTCCACAACCTCACACTGATAGTTAGATTTTAATTTAATAGATTGTAAACTGACTTTCAAAATACGTATGTGATAGTCATTTATATACTATGTATTATTTGAAAATATTCATTCGTGAGTTAAGTACTTTGTATGTAGTTGTTTCGGTTTGCTAAAATCAAAACAATACATCTTGAAAAACAGCTAAAAATGCGCATCTCTTACAAGCACCAGATTCTATTGGCTTTGGATCGTTCTGTCACAAACTATCCAGTTCTCTGAGGCGTTTAGTGATTGTCTAATTGCTCTGCGTTCATGACATTCAATTAAATCATGGCTCTTCATTGTGTTCGCATCAAAATTTTCTTCATACTTCAGTAATTTCATATCAACAGATAGTTTGAATTAGTTACCGAACGATTTGTAGCTTGACGGGTAAGTTTCAGGTTTGTGTGATAAGGAACTAAGACTGTAATGGTCGATTTTCAGAGAATCTACGTACGAAAGTCGACAATATTCAGACAAGACAATAAATACTACTCACGATATAATTGGATGATGAAATTCACATAAGGCGAAATCCCTAGTTATACGAACAAATTAATAATAAATCGAAGTCTTTCACATTTCAGCAATGATAGCAAATAATAAGTTTTAATGTGAATTCACATCAAGAGGAATATTTCATGAACAACGATAAAACAAATTATTCTCAATCAAAGCAGATCAGCAATCATCCGTCAACCAATTCACAACAATTGCTTGTTCATGAGAAACCTAATCGTAACGTATTGCACACATTTCACCACAGCCTGACAACACTGGTCATAAGGAAGTCTCACTATCCCAGCATCAAATCCCAAATAAATATCACCATTCAAAATGCACATTGTTATCATATTAATATTTTATTTTCATTTATCAATATTTAATGCAATTAATAATAATTAAAGAATCTGAATACAGTTTGAAATGACTAAATATCATCTTATTTGCATTTGGAAGGACACGAACATCCACACGTACACCCTGAACATTGGCATTGACCAGATGGACAATCACATCCTTTGCCCGATGCACATCCAGAACAGCATTTACAGTTTCCACTATCACCACCACAACCTTCAAGTCAACAGAGAGAATAAATATTTAATGTTAATGACAACTGTGATGAATGATTTCTGGAGAATGTGAATAGATGATGATGATGATGATGATGAGAGATGATGATGCCATACAACAACAATCTTACCTGGCATGATTATTCTTACTAAGAGACTTCAGTGTATAATTTGTCCGAAGTATCGTTCGCATATATACATTTTCATTTTCTATGCTTCATATGTGACAAACACATAGGAAAATGAACCAATAGGAATCGTGATATTTTTCACATTGCATCACTGATTGGTTGAAATTCTCAGAACACTAGTGTTTAGACTGAAATTGTAGACTGGAAAATAATGAAAAAATTGTTGTTGTTCTTGTTGTTTACAGTGGATGAGAAACTCATTATTTTATCATAACTGCTTGACGGTAATTGTAAAACAGGGTTTGTTAGATTGTCATCATTCATTATTATAAGTTTGAATTTCATTTTCATTGAAATTTCTTACATGAATCATTGTGTTGTTTGTTCTAGTAATATCCCTTATGTTTATCCACATCGATTTGAATTTGTTTCAGTTCACACATCATGTGATAGTTGTTTGAGCACAGTTTTATTTGGAATGTGTGATTCGACTACATCATCTAGATTCAATAGCAGGCAAATTTTCTCGATGACATTCAACGTTCTGATTGAAATTCTAGGCACAATATTTCCACACAAGCGTATACACAATGCTACATGGATCTCACCGGATCACACTACAGAGAACCAAATAGATCAGATTTGCATCAACAAAAAATTCCGAAGGACAATGGAAGATGTGAGAACCAGGAGAGGCGCTGACGTAGCTTCAGATCACCACCAATTTAAAACTGAAGCTAAAGAAGAACTGGACAAGTGGACAAACAGCACTACAAAGGTTCAATACAGTCTTCCTTCGAGATACTGAAAAACTCAATGAATTCAAGATAGCTCTCAACAACAGGTTCCAAGCCTTACAAGATCTACTGAAAGAAGAAGAAACTAGTATGGAGGACAACTGGAGAGGCATCAAGGAAGCATTAACTTCAACGTGTCAAGAGGTTCTGGGTCTAAAGAAATACCATCATAAGGAATGGATCTCTACAGAAACACTGGACAAGATCAAAGAAAGGAAGAACAAGAAGGCAGCAATAAACAACAGCCGAACACGAGCAGAGAAAGTCCAAGCACAAGTTGAATACATAGAAGAAAACAAACAAGTGAAGAGGAGCATTAGAGCCGACAAGAAGAAATACGTGGAAGAACTAGCAACCATGGCAGAAAAAGCTGCTAGAGAAGGAAATGTGAAACAGCTTCACGATACAACGAAGAAACTAGCAGGAAAATACAGTAAACCATAGAGGCCGGTCAAAGACAAAGAAGACAAGCCAATCACTGAAATTCAACAACAGCGGAACAGATGGGTAGAATAGTTCGAGGAACTCCTGAATAGGCCGGCTCCAATGAATCCACCGGACATCGAAGCGGCACACACAGATCTTTCCATAGACGTCAACCCACCAACGAAGGAAGAAATCAGAATGGTCGTCAGACAAATCAAGAACGGGAAAGCAGCGAGTCCGGACAACATACCAGCTGAAGCACTGAAGTCAGACATCGAAGCAACCACAAACATGCTTTACCTTCTATTCAAAAAGATTTGGGAGGAGGAACAAGTGCCGATGGACTGGAAAGAAGGGAACCTCGTCAAGATTCCAAAGAAAGGAGGTCTGAGCAAATGTGAAAACTATAGAGGCATTACACTGCTGTCAATACCAGGGAAGGTCTTCAACAGAGTGTTGCTGAACCGGATGAAAAATGCAGTAGACGCCCAACCTCGAGATCAACAAACTGGATTCCGTAAGGATCGATCATGCACAGACCAAATTGCGACACTACGGATCATCGTCGAACAATCAGTTGAGTGGAACTCATCACTATACATCAACTTCATTGATTATGAAAAGGCATTCGACAGTGTAGATAGGAGGACATTATGGAAACTTCTTCGACACTACGGAGTTCCTGAGAAGATAGTCAACATTATCCGGAACTCATACGACGGACTACAGTGCAAAGTCGTGCATGGAGAACAGCTGACAGATGCATTCCAAGTGAGGACCGGAGTCAGACAAGGCTGTTTACTCTCTCCCTTCCTCTTTCTTCTGGTGTCGACTGGATTATGAAGACCTCGACATCTGAAGGAAAACACGGAATTCAATGGACAGCTCGAAATCAATTAGACGATTTGGACTGCGCAGATGACCTAGCCCTCCTATCACGTACACACGAACAGATGCAGATGAAGACAGCCAGTGTAGCAACAGTCTCTGCATCAGTAGGCCTCAGCATACACAAAGGGAAAACCAAAGTCCTCAAATATAAAGCGGAAAACAACAATCCAATCACTCTTGATGGCGAAACTCTGGAAAATGTAGAGTCCTTCACATACCTAGGAAGCATCATCGATGAACAAGGAGGTTCAGATGCAGACGTAAAGGCAAGGATCGGCAAAGCAAGGACAGCATTCGTACAGTTAAAGAACATATGGAACTCAAAACAACTTTCAACCAATATCAAAGTGAGAATCTTCAATACCAACGTCAAGGCAGGCAGTTCTACTGTATGGAGCTGAAACTTGGAGAACTACAAAAACCACAATCAAGAAAGTACAAGTATTTATAAATAGCTGTCTACGCAAGATACTCAACATCCATTGGCCGGATACCATCAGCAATAGCCTTCTGTGGGAGAGAACAAACCAAATTCCAGCTGAAGAAGAAATCAGGAAAAGACGATGGAAATGGATAGGACATACATTACGCAAATCGTCAAACTGCATCACGAGGCAAGCCCTAACTTGGAATCCTGAAGGGAAGCGAAAAAGAGGAAGGCCAAAGAACACATTGCGTCGGATAATAGAAGCAGATATGAAAACGATGAATTACAACTGGACGGAGCTAGAAAGGATTGCCCAGGACAGGGTTGGATGTAGAATGCTGGTGAGCGGCCTATGCTCCTTCACGAGGAGTAACAGGCGTAAGTAAGTAAGTAAGTCATTATGTCTAATTCTTGAGCTTAATCTCGAATCTAATAAGTAAAAATGTATGTGAACATTCTACTTGTACATCGCTATATGTTGTTGAAGAAATACAAAAGAAAATGCATCAGTTCACAGTTTCAGCATAGATCAGTGATGAGGAATGGATATTTTCTAGAATGTTTCGTGTGCTAATCACACTTATAGTACATTTGAAAGCAAATAATGAAAGTGAATAACACAAGGTGATATATATTTAATATAAATGTAACAAAATATGATGATTATTGTCACCGATTTTGCATTAAGAAGACCAAATTAGGAAAAAAAAACACTCAATTTAAATAAACAAGTTAAAGCTATACGAATATTGATAACTGTTATTATGTTTAATAATGATTCATACAAGACATAATTATTTCAAAATTGAATACAATAATACAATAAATGCATAGGTTCATTGAAGACGACCAGTTTGCTACTTGCTAAAAGAAAGGCAAGAAGTGTTCTGATTACTCCACTACAAATATAAGACACTCCGAAGGGAAATGGATATTGGAGCTTCCATCATAAAACAGAGCTTGTTGTAATATGATGTATTAGGACTGGAATCAAACATTCGGCATAAATTACTTAGTTGAGCTGAGATGGGCATTTGAAAAGGGACTGAAGATTTCAAAAGATATAGTGATAAACATAGCTAATTGATATGACAGGATAAAAAGGCAAAATTATATTTTTTTCAACTCATTATGATTCATGTTCAACATGTGATTATTCAGTTTAGTATTTGTTTTATATTCAATGTAATCTTTTGTTCAGTATAACACTGATTAATTTCAGCATGAGGTAGACTATGCTCAGTATGATATGCAGCATGTAATTTGTTATAATTCTGAACATTTTTCATTTATATCACTGTTTTCTAATTAATGATCAGATGAATGTACAAATCAGTACATATATGAGTGTATTTTCGACTATGTTCGTCGTCGTGTATTGGAGTGAATATATCCTCACTTTTATCAGTATTCTGTGTTCACACTTTGCATTGTGGGAATTAAAGTATTTCCTCCTTTCAATTATGTAGTAATAAGTAATACGGATCTAGCATTGGCGATGGAGGTTTTGGAGGAAGAAAAGAAAATAATAATAGTAGAATTTCAAATTTATATTGGTCCAAAGATCTTATACTGAAGCAGTGGGGCTACATGACAACGAGTATTTTTTTTATACGGAAGGTAAAAGCAACTCACATGTTATGCTGTTGACCATTGATTTTCCGAAATGATAAACTTAATAAAATTCGGATGGATAGCCTTGATTTGCATTGTCTGTCAAAACAAAGGAAACTCATCAACAATAATGGCTGAAGATAAAGCTATTTCATAAGTTATCTGCGGTTGAAAAACGGGTCATTTGTATTCCTGGTGATTGGTGGACACACAAATCGTACTCTCGATGAGGTACAAATTTCTTGGGTTTGATTCCTTGTTGACACCACTTCTACATTTTTTGAGTCACAATTTAGAACGAAACAATTATAGATTCTTGTGTAATTCTAAAAAAAATCGCCTACTGAATTTGGTTGGTTACAAAATTATTTTCATCGCAAGTGTATGATATTTAATACGTACTTGTGAGCATAAATTATACAATATATCAGGTGTTAATCAACGAAGCAATACATTTCATACATCATTTTCCGATAAAATTACTTCTACAAACGCATCATTGTATTATTTGATGAAATGAGTTATAAGGATTTAAAAATTGTTGTTCTAATACATTCTTATGGAGGTCGATTAAATCATTCATGAACTAACTAGCTTAAATGATAATCTAATTAACTATGTCGTATGATGAGCTTTGATTAACATCATACGACCCACAGTTCATGAGAACATGGAAAACACATTTTGACCTCTTCGAAATCAATTTTTCTAAATAGAAAACTGTCATAGTAAGAAGTGATTATATTCTGTATGCTAACAAGTAATACTCAAAACTATTCATCTTGCGGTCTAGTAGTAGACAAGTATTTAGGTCATTACAAATACGAAAAAAACTTTGTTCACACTGTAATCGATAATTAATGATCCGTTGACTGAATGAGCACAAGTACGTACGCAGATAACTTATGAAATAGCTATATCTTCAGCCATTATTGTTGATGAGTTTCCTTTGTTTTGACAGACAATGCAAATCAAGGCTATCCATCCGAATTTTATTAAGTTTATCATATCAGAAAATCAATGGTCAACAGCATAACATGTGAGTTGCTTTTACCTTCCGTATAAAAAAAATACTCGTTGTCATGTAGCCCCACTGCTTCAGTATAAGATCTTTGGACCAATATAAATTTGAAATTCTACTATTATTATTTTCTTTTCTTCCTCCAAAACCTCCATCGCCAATGCTAGATCCGTATTACTTATTACTACATAATTGAAAGGAGGAAATACTTTAATTCCCACAATGCAAAGTGTGAACACAGAATACTGATAAAAGTGAGGATATATTCACTCCAATACACGACGACGAACATAGTCGAAAATACACTCATATATGTACTGATTTGTACATTCATCTGATCATTAATTAGAAAACAGTGATATAAATGAAAAATGTTCAGAATTATAACAAATTACATGCTGCATATCATACTGAGCATAGTCTACCTCATGCTGAAATTAATCAGTGTTATACTGAACAAAAGATTACATTGAATATAAAACAAATACTAAACTGAATAATCACATGTTGAACATGAATCATAATGAGTTGAAAAAAATATAATTTTGCCTTTTTATCCTGTCATATCAATTAGCTATGTTTATCACTATATCTTTTGAAATCTTCAGTCCCTTTTCAAATGCCCATCTCAGCTCAACTAAGTAATTTATGCCGAATGTTTGATTCCAGTCCTAATACATCATATTACAACAAGCTCTGTTTTATGATGGAAGCTCCAATATCCATTTCCCTTCGGAGTGTCTTATATTTGTAGTGGAGTAATCAGAACACTTCTTGCCTTTCTTTTAGCAAGTAGCAAACTGGTCGTCTTCAATGAACCTATGCATTTATTGTATTATTGTATTCAATTTTGAAATAATTATGTCTTGTATGAATCATTATTAAACATAATAACAGTTATCAATATTCGTATAGCTTTAACTTGTTTATTTAAATTGAGTGTTTTTTTTCCTAATTTGGTCTTCTTAATGCAAAATCGGTGACAATAATCATCATATTTTGTTACATTTATATTAAATATATATCACCTTGTGTTATTCACTTTCATTATTTGCTTTCAAATGTACTATAAGTGTGATTAGCACACGAAACATTCTAGAAAATATCCATTCCTCATCACTGATCTATGCTGAAACTGTGAACTGATGCATTTTCTTTTGTATTTCTTCAACAACATATAGCGATGTACAAGTAGAATGTTCACATACATTTTTACTTATTAGATTCGAGATTAAGCTCAAGAATTAGACATAATGACTTACTTACTTACTTACGCCTGTTACTCCTCGTGAAGGAGCATAGGCCGCTCACCAGCATTCTACATCCAACCCTGTCCTGGGCAATCCTTTCTAGCTCCGTCCAGTTGTAATTCATCGTTTTCATATCTGCTTCTATTATCCGACGCAATGTGTTCTTTGGCCTTCCTCTTTTTCGCTTCCCTTCAGGATTCCAAGTTAGGGCTTGCCTCGTGATGCAGTTTGACGATTTGCGTAATGTATGTCCTATCCATTTCCATCGTCTTTTCCTGATTTCTTCTTCAGCTGGAATTTGGTTTGTTCTCTCCCACAGAAGGCTATTGCTGATGGTATCCGGCCAATGGATGTTGAGTATCTTGCGTAGACAGCTATTTATAAATACTTGTACTTTCTTGATTGTGGTTTTTGTAGTTCTCCAAGTTTCAGCTCCATACAGTAGAACTGCCTGCCTTGACGTTGGTATTGAAGATTCTCACTTTGATATTGGTTGAAAGTTGTTTTGAGTTCCATATGTTCTTTAACTGTACGAATGCTGTCCTTGCTTTGCCGATCCTTGCCTTTACGTCTGCATCTGAACCTCCTTGTTCATCGATGATGCTTCCTAGGTATGTGAAGGACTCTACATTTTCCAGAGTTTCGCCATCA